ATATATGTGTATAGTAACATATATATATATATATATATATATATATATCCTATATATATATATTCCGTTTACGTACTTGTTGAAGAGGTTCAGACCAACACGGTACTGCCGCTTCCTCAGTACGTCGTTAACGTGGAATGTGGTGGCAGCGCCCCCTGGCGGCGCATCGCCGCCCGGACGCCCCGCCGTCGTCGTCTGCTTTGCGAACATCTCTAGCGCGGAGTCGGACGTTGGGGAGCTGGAGTAGGTCGTCTCGTCGAGGCTGTCCGTCTCGCTGTTCTCGGAGACGGTGCTGCCCCTGTTGGCCGACTTCCCCGCGACGCCGTTCGCTTGTTGCAGGTGCGGCGGCACGCCGGAACGCCCCCACGCGGTCGGCGTGCCAACGGTGGTGCCCTCTTCCTGCGATCGCGTGAGCGCGGGGGCGCTGACTCGGTTCTCGCGAAGCTGCCTCGCCGGTGGCTCGCCCTGGAGGCCGATGGCGGCGACGCGCGGCGTCAGGTCGTCGAGGATGACGCTCTCGTCCAATGAGCTCGCGCGCGCTCGCCGCGCCCCCGCCGCGCCGTGGCGCGGGATCGGCGGCGCCGCCGGCTCCCCCTGGTGGCCGCCAGCCACGGGCACGTTCCAACGACTCGCGGCGCGCCATCTGCTGGCGGTGTCGCTCCTTCGACGCGAGCGTCCTTTGACGCGACGGTGTGGCGCCGCCGTGTGTCCGCGCGGGCGGCGGCGCGGCTACCGCGCCAACCGTGATCACAATCTCACAGGAACTGTAATTGCGCGGCGTCCCCACGCCGCCCCCGGCACCCGGCCGCACCGGCGGGCGCGAAGCGGAGCTCAAACCGCCCTCGTCGCGCGCGTCACCTGCGAACTAGCTGTTCGTCGAGCGACTCGATCGCGCGTCTTCAACACGACGATGTGTCGGCGACGCCATCTGGTGATGCGCGGCGGCGGTCTCTGCGCCTCGGCGGTCCGCATCGGCGGCGATCGCTTCCCGCGCCGCTCAGCGCAGGGGCCGACGCCGGCGGGTCGGTCGTTCGGCGCGACGGATTCTCGCTGGCGCCCCCTCAGCCGGTCGCTGGAGCGACACTGACCGCCGGAGCGCCTGACCGCCGGAGGGCGCTGACGATCGCCGCGCCGCCGCCGCCGCCGCCGCCGCGCTTTCCTCCATCGTCCCGTGCCACCACTGGGTGGCGCTGCCCGCCGCCCCGCGCGTACGATGGCTCCGCCTGGTGTCCGCGCTGGTTCGCGTGCCGCGGCGGCGGCGGCGGCTCCGCCCGCTCACGATCACAAAGTTCTGATTGTACTCGCGGCACGTGTACGCATCACCGCCGGCAACGCCCCCGCGTCCGTTGACGAGCATCGGCGAGCCCGCGAAGGGGGCGCCACCGCAGAACGAAGGTTCGCGCATCGAGAAGTAGCGACGCGAGAGACGTCGCTCGCACTTGGTGGCGCCGCTGCGCATGTTGCGAAACTGCTTCTCCATGCAGTGCTTGCGGTAAGCCTGCTGTATGACGAGAGCGGCGTGGCGCGCTCTCAGGTGGCCGCCATACTTGCGCTCTAGCATCTCCACCTGGTGGCAGGGAGAGAGAGAAACAAGAGAACGTGTTACAAGCATCTCCACCTGGTGGTGGCAGGGAGAGAAAACAAGAGAGAACGCGTTACTAGCATCTCCACCTGGCGGCAGCGGCAGCGAAGAGAAAACAAGAGAACGTGTTACTAGCATCTTCACCTGGTGGTGGCAGCGGGGGGAGAGAAAACAAGAGAACGTGTTACAAGCATCTCCACCTGGCGGCAGTAGCGGCGGAAAGAAAACAAGAGAAAACGCGTTACTAGCATCTCCACGTGGCGGCAGCGGCGGCGGAGAGAAAACAGAGAACGCGTTACTAGCATCTCCACCTGGCGGCAGCGGCGGCGGAGAGAAAACAAGAGAACGCGTTACTAGCATCTCCACCTGGCGGC